AGACACTCTAATTCATTGTCTCTCTCTCCCTGTTCAGTGGAACTTACTCAAGGTCACACAACAGGGCACTGGCACTGGTTTCTGTGCTCTTGCCAGTGAATTTCCCTGTGGCAAGGATGAATCAAGGGAACTGACCAGGGATATTACTTATGAATTTGCAATCACAAAATCAAGTGTGGAAGAAATACAATTTTATTTTATTTTAACCAAAATAGATGAGAATGAGTCTTTATCCTGCTACCTGGTTTGTTGTTATTATGGTTTGTTTTCCCCTCCAGAATCATGAAAGGGTCCTGGGGTCTCAAAGACATTAAGGTGAGCCCTCTAAGCCTTGGTCTGCCCGGATTCTGCTCATACATGTTTTTTTTTTTAAAGACGGGGTTTCACCATGTTGGCCAGGATGGTCTTGATCTCCTGATCTTTTGATCCGCCAGCCTCGGCCTCCCAAAGTGCTGGGATTACAGGCATGAGCCACCGCGCCCGGCTTTACAAGCTCTTAAGCCTGCAAATTCAGACAAGTTGGTGAGCCTTGGTGACGAGGGCCCCGCATCCCAGGGGACTCCATGCAGCCTTTTCCCTAGGAAATTCTATCATCTCCAGGTGCTTAGCCACAATCAGGGCAGGATTGTCACCACTCATAGGTCTCATGAACTTTTTTGTCCCTGACTTATCTTTTGGGAAACCACCCCCCTTTTTCTCTGCCCATTCTTCCTCCAGGACCCTGGGCCTAATAGCAGTTCACTAGAGCTTTCATCATAGGGTCCAGAAGCATGGCTATTCTCATGCAGTCCTGCTGTCCACCCTGCAAAAGCAACTAAGGCAAGGAAATGCAAAGAATTAGGGTATGTTCTTGGACTAAGTGGGGCGGGGTGGGGGAAATCTAGTGAAAGCAAATTAACACTCCAATAGTTTATAATGTCACACAGCTAACCACAGAAACACTGCTTAGTAGGTGGAAGGCAAGAGCTGGGCCTACCACCTGTTTCTGTCCTGTTCCTCAGGCAGGGCTTCCGTGCTACAATTCACTCCTCAGAGCTGTCCTCCCAAAGCCTCACCGAGACCCTAATTTAGCAGCAGCATGTGTGAAATTGAACCGAGTCACAGTGTAATCCAGTGAGTCAGGGAGAATGAGCCAAACATAGCTCCCAGCTATGGGTGGGAGATAGGATTGGACATTTTCCACCAATAGAGGTGCTTTAATGAAGTCATGCTTAATTCTGTCTACAATCTTGTGAGGTAGGTATTAGATCCCTATTTTACAGATGAGGGAACCAAGGCCTGAAGGAAATGTCACTTGCCTCAGCTATGTAATCATGCCAAGTCAGAACCACTCAAGCCTGGAAGGGATTTCCTAGGCCTCCTAGTCAGGCCAGTAGTTCCTCATTTTTTCCTACAGCACGTTTGCTACAATATCATGTATTCTACATGTGTTTAAAAACCCTAGTATAATTTGAATTTTAGGAAGCCTGTAGTAATGCCACCCTTTTCCCACCTACTCAAAAAAGAAAAAAATTTGAAATGTGAGGGTCATTAGATGGCTAATGTTGACCTGCACCATCCATCAGAGAAACAAAGAATTCACAAAAATTGGAATTTTTTTTTTTGAAATGGAGTCTCTCTGTTGCCTAGGCTGGAGTGCAGTGGTGTGATCTTGGGCTCACTGCAACCTCCACCTCCTGCTTTCAAGTGATTCTCTGGCCTCAGACTCCTGAGTAGCTGGGATTACGGCACCCACCACCATATCCGGCTAATTTTTTTTGAGACAGTTTAACTCGTTGCCCAGGCTGGAGTGCAATGGCATGATCTCGGCTCACTGCAACCTCCGCCTCCCAGGTTCGAGTGATTTTCCTGAATCAGCCTCCCAAGTAACTAGGATTACAGGCACCCGCCACCATGCCCCACTAATTTAAAAAAATTTTTTTTAGTAGACAGGATTTTGCCATGTTGGCCACGCTGGTCTCCAAGTCCTGACCTCAGGTGATCCTCCCACCTCAGCCTCCCAAAGTGCTGGGATCACAGGCATGAGCCACCATGCCTGGCCTATATTTTTTAGTAGAGACGAGATCTCACCACATTGGTCAGGCTGGTCTTGAACTCCTGACCTCAGGTGATCCACCTGTGGAGCACTTCCACTTTGGGAGCACTTTGTCCTCCTAAAGTGCTGGGATTACAGGTGTGAGCCACTGCATCTGGCCTAAAATTGGAATTTTATTACAATTACTTTTGGGTGCTTTGCTACTGAAATCTTGGTTAAGTGTGGTTAAGACCTAGTCTAAATCCCCATGAGAATGGGGAATTTTCCCATGATAGATATGACTGCCAACTAGAGGTCCAGCCTCTGTTTGGGCACTTGGATTGAGGAGGAGGAATTCACTGCAATATTTTAAGACAATTCATTCCACAATTAATTTCACTTTTGGAAAATCCTTATTTGTCATTCTTTACATCCTACTGACTTTCCCGTGTCAACATCTCTATTCCAGCTCTTCTACCCTATCCCCTGTAGTTACAGCCTTAGTTCAGGCTCTGAGTTTTCCCACCTGGACTGCTGTAGCTGCTGCAAGACTGCATTCCTTTCTCCCATTTCCTACCCCTTCACTCCAGGTTCCAAGTTACCCTTCTAGTAACACATTCTAAGACACAAAACCTGATCATGTCACTTCTCTGCTTAGTATTTCTGAGTGGTCTCTCATTCTCTAGAGAAGGCAGGCCTTGCAGGACCCTTCACAATCTGGCCCTCACTTGTCCTTCCAGCTTTATCTCTGGCCAGGACTCCCATAAACTTACGCATAAATCTCAGTACTTTCCAGAAGATGAAATAGCTTCATGATAGCCTTTTCTTACTTTTTCTCTGCAATGTCTTATGCCACTCATCTGCCTGGCAAATACACAGGAGAGGCAAAACAAACAGGCACCAAGTACAAGCTGCTTGGACTGGAATCACACTTCCAGTGCGACCTTTGACAGGTTAGTATGTCTGCTTCAGTTTCACCAATCTCTAAAACTGGGTGAGCAAAGTGAACTACTTTGTAAGGTTAGTAGGTGGTCTAAGTGAGGTAAAAGTATTTAGCATGCCCACTGGCATTTAAATACTCCAGAAACAGGCACTGTTAGCTCCTTGCAAGTGTTCAAGGGTTGTCTTCTCCGTGCAACTTACCTGACTTCTTCCCCTCAGTTACCATTAGTCAGTTCCTCTTTTGGACAATGGGAACTAAACCCAGTACACTTATTTCTCTCACAGCACTCCCCACATTTATTATACTAAAGATGCTTCCCAGAAATAAAATGGGTTTATTGGGAAGCAATAAACCCAACAAAACTTGAAAATACTGTAAGTAAAAAATGCATTTAATACACCCAGCCTACCTTAAACTGACTCTGATCACTTACATTAGCTTACAGTTGGGCAAACTCATCTAATGCAAAGCCTATTTTATAATAAAGCATTGAATGTCTCATGTAATTTATTGAATACTGTACTGAAAGTGAAGAACAGAATGATTGTATGGATACTTGGAAGTACTGTTTCTTCCTAAATGTGTATAGCTTTTGCACAATCCTAAAGTTGAAAAATTGGAAGTCAAACCATCATTATGTTCGGGCCCATCTGTATTTCTTACCTCCTACTAGACTAGCTCCTTGAGGGAAAGGGCCAACCCCTCCAGCATTTAGCACAGACCTTGCATGTCTAATAGAGGTTTAAAGTTCACTGAAATGTGGAGGGGGAGGGGGGAGCAGTGAAAAAGAGTAGCCAGAAATTGGCCTTTTATTTTCTACTCATTGATCATGGGTCAGCTTAGCTGGGGCGCAAAAGTGTAGGATCTATTTTACTGGACAATCCTTAAACTTCCCAAAGCCGTGTCCTGTTGCCTCTTCGCCAAGCTAAGCATTCTTAGCTCCTTCAAGCTTTTTTCCCTTGACACAATTTGTCCTCTACATCTTAGCTCTCCGCTGGCAGAGGACTCATCTGTCTGGTGCTCTTGTTGAGCACCAGAAGAGAACATAGCAATGATGATGACTGATAGGCACAGGAAGACTCAGTGTGGTCTCTCATTCTCTAGAGGAAGCAGGCCTTGTAGGACCCTTCACAACCTGTGTCTTAATGTGTCCACATTATCCTAGACAACTTGTTTTTATCATCTCATCCTAGGACCACAATGGAGATTTATGGACACATAAATAGTTCTTGGGCCAGGTGTGGTGGCTCACGCCTGTAATCCCAGCACTTTGGGAGGCCAAGGCAGGTGGATCACAAGGTCCAGAGATCAAGACCATCCTGGCCAACATGGTGAAACCCCGTCTCTACTAAAAATACAAAAATTTGCTGGGCATGGTGGCACACACCTGTAGTCCCAGCTACTTGGGAGGCTGAGGCTGAAGAACAGCTTGAAACCAGGAGGCGGAGGTTGCAGTGAGCCGAGATCACGCCACTGCACTCCAGCCTGGTAACAGAGACTCTGTATCCAAAAAAAAGTTCCTGGCATAATAAACTAAATTTAAAATTTTAAGGGGCAAGGTCTCTTCATGTTGCCCAGGCTGGTCTCAAACTCTTGAGCTCAAGTGATCTGCCAGCCTCAACCTCCCGAAGTGCTGGATTTCAGAGTGAATCACCACACCTGGCCCTCCTGACATAACTTTTTTTTTTTTTTGGAGATGGAGTCTCACTGTCGCTGGGCTGGAGTACAGTGGCGTGATCTTGGCTCACGGCAACCTCTGCCTCCTGGGTTCAAGCAATTCTCCTACCTCAGCCTCCCAAGTAGCTGGGATTACAGGTGTGTACCACCACACCCAGCTAATTTTTGTATTTTTAGTAGAGGCAGGGTGTCACCATGTTGGCCAGGCTGCTCTTGAACTCCTGACTTCAGGTGATCTGCTGGCCGCAGCCTCCCAAAGTGCTGAGATTACAGGCCTGAGCCACTGAGCCCAGCCAAAAACTCTTATTACTGGCATGCAATACTGTGAGAGCACAGTATTCTACAGTCCTCAAGTCTTTCCACAGATATTGTCAATCTGCATTTATTGAAATGTTACATTTAGATTCTGCTCATTTTTATAGGCTGTAATGGTGTTTGGATCCTAAATTTGGATTACAAATTGTCATCCTTCCTAGGAGTTTCTTGTTATCTAAAAATTTGATCAACATTCCTAATTTACTAGTACTATCTCTTGTATAAATGGATTCAAATTCTTTTGTGAAATGGGTAAGGCATAAAAAAAGTAATTACTAGTATCAGAGGGGCCAAGAACAGAGTCCTGGGGGCGCATATCAGGTCAACCCACAATCAGTGAATTTATAGTTAGTTGGCGGTCAGTTACCAACTTCTCTGTCTCCCTAATGCTTTGACTTTACTATGTCCAGATTTTTACCAGTTCACAAAATTAAAGAAGACTATAAGGCCAGTTCAGAATCACTTTCTCTGAAGTCCACAATGAACATCTGTTAAACTCTCATCACTCTTATTAAGCTGCTTTTGGTTCATTTGTTGTAGGTTTACTTCCCAAATCAATGTCACTTATACGCCTGTAACTTGTGTTATCAGCTTCCTTCTTGAACTTCGAACTTCTTTTCAGTCTTCTAGGGTTTCTTCTATTTTCCTTTCAGTTCACTCCAATAAGCTCAACAAACTTGTAGAAACCCCTTGGTGACTCAGCTGCTGTTTACCAGAGTCAGGAGACTATAATGTCTCAGAGAGCTAAGTGCTCCTTTTTATTTTTACTTCATTTGTCTTACCTTGAACTTTTTAGTTCCTTCTAACCACTTGGCGCTGCCCTTTTCAGACTGAAGCTAGCTCCCTTTGGCCAAAGACAGGAGACAAAGTATGGTTTAGAGTTCAACTTTCTGTCAACACGTACTGGCCTCCAACAGATCGTTTTCCTTCCTGCTGACACTGGACATGATCTCTCTAAACTCTTTTTCTCACCAACAGAATGGGAATATCCACTCTGTGATCCTGTTATAAAGGTTTAATGGGACAATGTATATAAAAATGCTCTGGAAACACAATTAAGTACGTGCATGCCAAGGGGTCCAAGACCTTCTGCTCTCAGACACAGCTGACTGTTAGCCAGGGGTGGCCCTTGAGTGATACTAGTACTCTTTCCTCAGGACTCAAGTTCTCCTGAGGCAGGATGCCTGGTCCTCCCCCAAATCAGCAGAAGAGCAGAAAGGACCCTTGCCAAGGGACTTAGGACCACTTTTGGCACTAGATACAGAATGTTTTTCTAATTAGCAAACCCAGAGGGACCCACATCATTCTTAGTCTGTGTGGGAGCCTTAAGCCTTCCCAAGCTCAGCAGTTCAATGCTGCTGGCATGAGACCATTCTTTTGTGCCAAAATCAGAGGCCTTTAGCACCAAACCCGACTGGCATTGCCTTAACTATGGAGTGAGCAAGGCTGAGACAGTAGTTTTCTGAGCACCACTTGGTCAGATCTGCCATTTCCCCAGCAACTCCCCCAGTGCCATGTGGAGAAGAAGCAGGGGTATGAGCAGGATTAACCTCAGAATCTGGCTGGCAGGAGACAATTGGAACATGCCCGCAGGCTTTTCAAAGATAGTAAAAACTTTTAACTGTTTCTTCCAACCTCAGTCATGGACGTTTGAACACTGTGGACACCTAGTGGCATGAAGGCATTACTAGCCACACTATCCTTAGGTTTCCTAAATCCAATAGTCAATGCTCACAGTGGGGCTCTCCCCAAGAGTGGAGATTCAGATTCACTTTATATTGTTTCTTCGTGAGAATGCCAATCTAAAGAAATATTCTGTGGCTACTAAAAATGGGACACCAGAAATGGGCATTATCAAAAAAAAGGCTTCATCTTTCTCCCCATGATTTTTTTTTGTGTGGAGTCTCGCCTTGGAGTACAGTGGTGTGATCTCAGCTCACTGCAATCTCTGCCTCCTAGGTTCAAGCGATTCTCCTGCCTCAGCCTCCCAAGTTAACTGGGATTACAGGCATGTGCCACCACACCCAGCTAATTTTTGCATTTTTAGTAGAGATGGGGTTTCACCATGTTGGCCAGGCTAGCTTCGAACTCCTGACCTCAAGTGATCCACCCGCCTCAGCCTCCCAAAGTGCTGGGATTACAGGCATGAGCCACCACACCCAGCCTCTCCCCATGATTTTCTAATCCTCATTTACTATTTGAACCCAAAACAGACTAAACTTCCCAATTAAGGAATCTCCCTTAAAAATATTTGATTAAACAATGCCAGTACTCTAAGAATCATTTTAGGCTAGGTTTGCCAAGACACATTAGAATGTTTAAATAGGCTCCACCTAATCCTTTCCCCTACTACTCTTACTTCCCTTCTAAAGGGAATAGAAGAAAAACAGGTGCTGAGACACCTTATACCATGCAACTTAATTCATTTGTAAAGATTACTCCACTGTCCTAGAAAAATACATGTTGCAAATTTGAGGGCTAAAACTTAACCACATTAGAGGCTTCCTGAGGGTGAGGGGATAACTTTTGAATATCAGACTCTAGTAATGTGTGGGAGAGGCATATTAAATACAGTTGGGCGAGATGAATTTAAAAAAAATTGCTTTTCCCCATTTTTTTTTTCTAAAAAAGGAAAATCAAATTGCCATCTGTCTGGCTTATTTTGTGTGTGCATGTATATATAGGAACAGCTTAAGGGGAAAGGTTATGTCATGCAATGAGGCAAAAACAGGACGACCTCCTCTGACAGAGGAGCCTTAGTGTTGTAGAAGGGAAGCAAGGCAGAGGTCACTGGAAAGGCTTAGAATGAAGCTGCTCCTGCCTGTTCCTCCTGAGAACCCAGAGTAGCAGTGGTCCAGGGCAGAAAGCATAATGATCTCTCTTGAGGATTCCATGAACACATCAGAAGTCCTATGAACGTAGATAGGTCTGTTTCAGAATATAAATGGTAGTGACTTCCTGTGCTCTTGAGGCAGGGCAAAATAATCCATGAACACGTAATTCTTCTGGGCAATAATGTTTCTGGACTGGCCAGCAAAGGGCTCTAGGAACAGAGGTTGGGGCAGCGGGAGAAAAAAGGTTCCAGAGATGGGATGTCTTCAGGGGAACTTTGAAAAATGTCCTTTGTTCCAGCATTCCTAAGTGACCGGCACTGGTGAGCCTGGTCTGAGTTGTCATCAGTGTCACTGCTGAGTCCAAGGGCCAAAGGTCAAGATGCCACTTTAGATTGAGAAGAAAGTGCATCTGAAGGCCACTGAGGGCTGCAAAATGGTTCGTGGCTGGGCCAGAAGGAGCAAATGTAGAAAGGCTCCCCTTTTTAGATGCCGATGGTCTGTAGAACTCGCCTCTCGTTGTCATTAAGGTGGCCTGAAAACATTATGTAGCAGGGCTGCTGAGCAAACTGGCAGAGGAAATCTGTCAGATATGCCTGAAGGAAAGAAAAAGAGTGGCATTAGTGAGAGGTTGCAAGGTCACCCATTTGCAGTGGAGCAAGAACCATAACCAAATGGCACAGGGAATGCTGGTTTTTAGACAAATGCCAGTTCCCTGAGGGATGGTCTTTCATGTTCTTGGATTTAGTTTAGGTAATTCATAGGGAAACAACATTTTTCCAAGGCTCTATCACCCCAAAAGCTTCACAACATAGCCTCTAGAAGCTGAATGACAATACATCAAGTGCAAAGTTCCATCCCTCGATGCCAAAGCCCTTGACTACTCACCAAGACAAGGACTCTTTCCCATGAGGCTCCCAAGATAAACTATAAATGGGGGTTTATTATTTTTTTGAACACATGATTGTGCTGTTGCCCAGGCTTGGGTGCAGTGATGTGATCACAGCTCATTGCAGCCTTGACCTCTTGGCCTTAAGTGATCCTCCCGAATAGCTGGGACCATAGGTGTGTGCCACTACACCCAGCTAATTTTTATTTGTAGAGACAGGGTCTCCTGCGTTGCCCAGACTGGTCTTGAACTCCTGGGCTTAAGCAATCCTCCTGCCTTGACCTCCCAAAGTGCTGGGATTACAGGTATGAGCCACCATGCCTGGTTATAAATGGATTTGAGCCCATATTCCTGTTTCCGTGGCCTGGGACACTGTCATTTGCAAGGCATCTCTGGACACCCTCACCTGCAGATCAATCTGATAGAGAGGATCCTTCAGGGCATCAGGGTCATCTTCCTCATCATCCTCGTAGTAATCCTCCTCTGTTAGACATAGCCAACACATGGCAGGTCAGGACAAAGGCCCATAATCAGACCCTGTGGTGATATACTACCACATGACTGAGGCAGAAGGTACAAAAGCCCAAGGAATGTCCCTGTGGGCCCACCTCTCCCCTTTCTTGGGTACCCCATTCTTGGCACCAGTGTGCAAAGAAAAGGTATTTACCATGGCTGTTCTCTTATCAAACTGCTTACCATATTTACTTGTAGCAAGAATGTCAGATAAAAGTTGGCCAGCTAAACCATCTTCCTCCTCTTCCTCTTCCTCCTCCTGGTCCTCCCACATATCATTGGAGTCATCTACTTGGAGATGAAAAGCAGCTAGAGCACATTCATGCATTTCCCCTCCCCAAATCCAAACAGGCCAGAACAGAAGGGCCTCAAAGGCTTCTGTAATGTGGATTGTAGTCCCCAGTAAAAGAGAACCAGAAATGGCCAAACCCTCCTGGTAAGTTTGAATGAAAGAACCTGGAGAGATAAAAGGCTGAGAGACTCCTAAGAAGAACCAAATCAAAGAAGTGCTGTTAGCTAGCTTGCCTCCTGGCTGACTCCCACATCAGCCTCTGTGAGATTTCATAGAGCAGACTGGAGAAGCAGCTCTTTAACATGCCTAGTGCCTAGCATGGTGCCAGCCACAGAACAGCCATTGCATCAATTACTTTTTTTTTTTTTTTTCAATCAGTGACTCAACAAACAAGTTGATAATTTGACAATCTGTAACTTGATATGCCAGGTTAAAAGTTTCCTGGGAGTAAGGGCCTGGTGCACCTTGACTCCACTCTGCAGGAGTGGCCTGGCGAGCGGCATTAGCCTCCATGACGTTGGAGAGCTCGTTGATGATCAGCTTTAGGATCTTGACCAGCAAAGGAATGTTTGTCCAGCGTTCTGGGTCTGGGAAGGAAGAAAAAGGCTTCAAGTCAGAGTGTCACTGGGCTTACTTCTGGCAGTATCCCTGTCCCCTCCTCAGTGCCACTCACCAGAGTTCACCACCCCTCAGGCTTTCACTGTCCCTGACTATATTCAGCCTCCAAAGAGTGATTTAAAGTTAAATAACTTTATTCTGTTAGGTATTATAACAGTTCAGGAGTTGGGAGAGATGAGAGTTCAGGGATTAAAGGAGGTAGTCTTGTTAGTAATAAAGCTCTGAAACTAGAACTGTATAGAGCCAGTACTCCAGGCCCAATGGCTTACAATTTGAGACAGCAGAGGTAATTATAAACATACATTAAAGACAGCAGCTCTATACTCCCTACCTGCAAATCACTGGAGTTATAGGCCAAAGGCAACTCAATAACAAAGACATGCTGACAATCTGTGCCCAAGCCTCAGAATGAAGCTAGAAGATGGGATGCTTGGTACATGAGACTATTTTGTTTTGTTTTGAGATGGAGTCTCATTTTGTTGTCCAGGCTAGAGTACAGTGGTGCGATCTTGGCTCCCTGCAACCTCGGCCTCCCAGGTTCAAGTGATTCTCCTGCCTCAGCCTCCCAAGTAGCGGGAATTACAGGTGCCCACCACCACGCCTGGCTAATTTTCGTATTTTTAATAGAGATGGGGTTTCAACATGTTGGTCAGGCTGATCTCTAACTCCTGATTTCACGTGGTCCATCTGCCTCGGCCTCCCCACATGCTGGGATTACAGGCATGAGCCACCATGCCTGGCCTATTTTTGACAACAGGAAGGAACTGTATGTTCTGATCACTTTTACCTAAGTTTTCTGCCTATTCTTTATTAAACCCATCACCAACAATTATGTTTTAAAAATATACACCATGATGCATTCCTGCCCTTCACCCAGGTATCCTTAGCCTCTTCCGATAGGGAGAGAATTGGAGGAATCACAGCATCACCCACTTTTGGCTGACTTAGAACGGGTGCGGATGCCCTCATCCATGCTGTAGATCTCCTCTCCCTTCACACGAATATCCTGTAGCCGTTTGTCATCTGCATTGATGCCATGCTGGAGCAGCTTACAGAGTGCCACAGAGCTGGCAAGGAAGAGCCAAAAAAAGGTCAATCAGCCACCCATCTAGAGATCATTCCAAGGAGATAAGCAATTATGTCCTAAGACCCTCTATTTGATAGTGAAAATTCTGTTAACTAATTAGGAGAGCTAAGAGAGTTCAGGGATCTGTTTTTTTTTTTTTGGAGACCGGGTCTCATTCTGTCACCCAGGCTGAGTGCAGCGGCATGATTATGGTTCACTGCAGCCTCGACCTCCCTGGGTTCAGGTGATCCTCCCATCTCAGCCTCCTGAGTAGCTGGGACTACAAGCAAGCACAACCAAGCCTGGCTAATTTTTGTATTTTTTTGGTAGAGATAGGTTTCACCACATTGCCCAGGTGGGTCTCAAGCAATTCACCTACCTCAGCCTTCCAGAGTGCTAGGATTACAGGTGACCTGTTCTTGAACAAAACTAGGGTGGGCAGGCATCAAGATGGCTATCCATATTGTAAGGTGCAATGAGGTGATAAGAATTGTGGTATAAAAGTCCAGGATAGAAAGTTAGAAAGCCAGGGTTAGAAGGCTCAGGGTTTTTAATTAATTCATTTATTTTTGAGACAGTTTCACTCTTTTTGCTCAGGCTGGAGTGCAATGGTATGATCTGCCTCCTCGGTTCAAGCAATTCTCCTGCCTTCCCCTCCTGAGTAGCTGGGGTTACAGGCACCCACACCACATCCAGCTAATTTTTGCATTTTTAGTAGAGACAGGGTTTCACCAAGTTGGCCAGGCTGGTTTTGAACTCTGAGCACCAGTGATTCACTTGCCTCAGCCTCTTTAGAAGGGTGCTGGGATGATAGGCGTGAGCCATTGTGCCTGACCAAGGCTTGGGTTTATAAAGGAAAATAAGCCACTAGCAGCACTTAGATGTGTGAAGTGTGTGGTAGAGAAGGGATCTCTAGTAAACAGAGATCAGAAATATATAGTCTACCTGTGTTGACTGTCTTTTGGAAAATTCAAGATGGCAGCTATTCACATATGTGGGTTAGCAATAAAGAAAGACAGGGAAAATGGAATACAGAGGGCCGTTAGAAATTTCAAACAAAAGTCAATGAAGCAAATCAGGGAAAAAAAGAAATATGGGTCAGAGGCAGTGGCTAACACCTGTAATCTCTCAGCACTTTGGGAGGCTGAGGCAGCGAGCAGATCACTTGAGGTCAGGAGTTCAAGACCAGCCTGGCTAACGTGGTGAAACCTCACCTCCACTAAAAATACAAAACAGAATTAGCTGGGTGTGGTAGTGCATGCCTGTAATTTCTGCTACTCGGGAGGCTGAGACAGGAGAATGGTTTGAACCTGGGAACTGGAGGTTGCAGTGAGACAAGATCATGCCACCACACTCCAGCCTGGGTGACAGAGCAAGACTGTCTCAAAAAAAAAAAAAAAAAAAAAAAGTATGAGTGGTGGCAGAATGCCCAAAAAAGAAAGAAAGATGGGGGTTCTACCTGACTTTGCCTTCATACTGTCCATAGAACAGGTGCTGTCGGCTCGTCCACTCAGCCATCACAAACTCTAGGGCAGGTTTGCCAGTAGGTCCTGGGAGGCTACACAAGAACTCCAAGAGAGGTTCTAGCTGAGTGTGCACCAGATGAGCAAACACCATGATCAAAGACTAGGAGAAAATAAGGACATTTGCTTCAGGGAAATTAATTTCAGAGACATAGGAGATGAGAAGGAACTGGCCAGTGAGGTAAGAAACAGAGTCTACACTGAAGGTATTATTCACAGGACAAGAAACCATGGAGGTTTCCTTGTCCATGTTTCTTAGGCCTGACAGATCCCATTTTACTTAACTGCCCTGTAAGGATAGTAATAGGGTAAAAACTCAGGACCAAAATACTAACTTTCATCTCTATCAGCCAGGGGGTAGGAAGCCACTCCCCACTGTTCTCTTACCTGCATGACACTGAGAGTCTCTGCCTGCTGCATCTTACTGAGGATGGCACGAAGAATCTGGTCTAGATTCTCCCCCAGCTCCCGCCCTGCCTTGGAGATGAGGGTGGAAACAAGGCGGCCCACAAAGGCTGCAGTGAACTCTGAGGTACGGGGATCCAGGAGCTGGCTCACCACTTGCATCACATACCACAGTCCATTGTGGCCCTGCTCATCATGCCACTGGGCAACTTGTTCCAGGGTCACTGACACATAGGCCCGCAAGCACTCTCCGCCATTCTGGGGAGACAGGGGTGGCAAACAAGATTAGTAATCAAGGACAGATGACAGGAGGACCCTCAGTCTGTATAAACAAATGTTCTCAGAGGCCTATACCTCATAAAAGCAGTGTGTGTATAGGGTTTGTGGTGGGCTCATACCACTGGAGTCAGGAATTTACTGTTACAGACATACATAGGCATTACACAATCTCCCCTTTACCTAATCAGCTATCTCAAACATGTGTATTGTTTTTTATCACAAGAGGCTGTCTCAAAAATGTGTAACTTTTTTATCGCAAGGGACAATGGCCAAGCAAAATGAATTTGAATTAAAAAGATCTACTTCTGGTACTGAAAAAATATGTTTACAATCTGGCAATAATTGGGGATACTATAGGTCTTTATATAGGTCTTACACAAACCACTCGCTGCCTAGGAATTTCCAAGCTGATCAATATTCACTGGCAAGTTCCTATAACTTTTATAATTAATCAGTTACCTGAAAAGGTAACCAGTTCATCCAAGAAACAAAAAGAAAAAATATTCAGGCATCTCCCCTCGCTAGAGGCCCATCAATCACTCTGCTGACTTCATTAATAGAATATGCAGAAAGACTTTCTTATGGCCCCAAGTCTAGATGTCTGTAATCTCTTTCACAGTAGCAATACCCGATATAGATAGGCAGGGTGGTTGGTATCCGTATTTTTTAGGATTGTAACATGCTCCAAAGCACCAGAAATGCTTGGCTTTTGCAGCCTGAACCCTTCCTGAATCCGCTAGGTAAATATGGAGTTGAGGAATTCCACGTCAAAAGCATAAAACCATGTCAGATTTCTCAGCACATTATAAGCCCATGGCTGGGAGCTATCTTCCCTCTTCTAGTCTCCATGTCTCAGATACCTGCATGGTGGCATTGTCATCTGTGTGAAGGGTACACTGTGCCACAGCAGGGAAAGCTTGGCAGATGAGAAGCTGTGAAAGGGGAGGCTTTGTATTTCGTACTACTGTAGTCAGGATATCAATGGCTGTCTGAAAGAGAGAAGAAAAAGAAGAGTCAGAATTGCCTCTGGAACTGAGGGTGCCCAACAACCAAGATCCTTACTGGATGGGTATCACACAGCAACACAGAGAAAACTTATTCATGAAAGACAGGTTTCCAAAAGAAAAGGAATAATTAAACAGGTAGTGCTCTCAGCCTCCTCATAATAGCTTACTAATTGATTAGCTCTCGGGGTGGGCATTAGTACACGGTGGTAGATTGGATAACCAGGTAACATACTTAGTGGTGCTGTGTAACAGTGGCACTCTGTTCAATTTATTGAGGGTACCTCTGAAACAAGAAGAGCCATTTTCTTAAAGTTTCAGAGAATCACCCACTGTCTTTGTGGGCAAAATAGCTCAGCAAAATCACCCATAGATCTCTAATACTATTAGGTTCTTGTCAGCTAGATGCATCTGTGGGTGGCACTTGTAGATCTCTCTCTCTCTCTCTCTCTCTCTCTCTCTCACACACACACACACACACACACACACACACACACACGCTTGTAGCCACTTACCGCACAGAGCCCTGCAGAGATCTTATATGCTGAGGCCTGCATTATGCTTACCAGAGTGGGAATCAGCCTAATTAGCAATCACACACACACCTCCACACCTCCCCCACACACCTCGGAGCCACTTGCCACACAGAGCCCTGCAGGGATCACGCACACACATAGACACAGACACAGCCTTGTAGCCACTTACCGTACAGAGCCCTGCAGGGATCTTGTCTGTGGGGGCCTGCGTTATGCTGACCAGAGTGGGAATCAGCCTCATTAGTAATCACACACACACCTCCACACCTCCCCGCAACCCCTTGGAGCCACTTACCGCACAGAGCCCTGCAGGGATCTTGTCTGCGGGGGCCTGCATTATGCTGACCAGAGTGGGAATCAGCCTCATTTGCATTGGACCCTGACAGGCTTCAATCTGGGACAGCTCCTTGAAGATGTCCTGAGCCAGTGAGGCGACGACGGGATCTGAAGTGGATAAGGCAACACGGAATCCCCCCACCCGATGGTCTGCATCTGTTTCTCACTTAATGATGTCTGTTGTTTGGCCTAACCTAACAACTTTTGCACTGATTATGTATCACATATCCGGGACCTAGTGGGGCTACATGAATAACCTGAAAAAACAGGAGATACGCTAAATCTCTAAGAGGTACAGTTTGTATGGCTTCATTAAAGTAGGGACTAGTCATTCACAGCTACTCCTAAAACAAAACGTGGCTTTTTCTACAGAAAAATCTTTACAGTCTATTCTTGTGAAACCTGGATTATAAAACCAAAGGCTAAAAAGAAAAAAAAAATAGCCCAACTGATACTTTAAGAAGACATGAAAGTTATAAAAACTGCCAAAACACTGATTTTGATGAATGAGAGAAATCATACATATCTTCTACGGGGTAGCCATAGTAGACATGAAGAACTCCCAAAGCTACTTCTGGGGCAAAAGGCAAAACTCCTAAAAAGCAGAGCCTTATGAAGAAAGGGAACATTAGCTCAACGTTCTTTATTTATGTAACAAAATATCCTCCTCTATTTAGTATGCAAAAATATATGCAATGTGCATCAAGGTTCTGAATTATGTCTCTTGCTTACTAGCCCTTTATTAATTATCTTTTTCCCTAAGCCCTTAGTAGAGAGTAAATGTTACAGAAATACTCTATTTTTTAAGGCTGCTACATTTACAGCACAGTTCTATTTTTTGCTAATCGAAAGCCAGATTCTTATGACGTTAAAACCATAGTATCATAGCTAAGACCAGACCCAGGAAATCGTTCCTTTAAATTCACCAGGCATCATCTTTTCTTTGGTGCCCCTCATAACACACCCTCCCTAGTGGCATACCATTACTGTACTTTAGGAAAATGGCGATGGTGAAGGGGCAGATTTTGCTTTCCATGCTTGCTGTGAATTCGGGGTCTACTGTACAAACGATGCACAGGGTCTCCATCACCAGGTTGAGGACCTCTGAGCTGAACTGGGCTGCTAGGTGAATTAAGCCATCAAGGATGCTGGGGAGGAAGGGCTGGAGCACATGGGTACTCTCTGAGACTTTCAGTTGGTCACAATAACTAGAGAGAGATAGATAAGCAAGAATTATTTTTAAAAATTCAATTCCTGGTTTTTCCAATCCATCTCACGTATTATAGCATTTACATGTGTAGCTTTATAAAGCTACTTATAAAGTTAGGTAAGTTTCTACATCCTTCTGTGATGTATTATATAAACATCACCACCACTACTTCTATGCTCTCTAATTTATTTCTGCTTTGACTTTTGGTATTTTCTTAAAGATTTTCTATTTTTCTTGAGTTTTTTTTTTTTTTTTGCATCCTGAAACAAACAAAATTTATATAAACATTCTATGTACACTTTCAAAATCAGTCTGTTAGCTGTAGGATTTAAAGTTCCCGCTATAGTTTTACTGTATTAGTCTCTTTTCAATCAACAAATACTGAATGTTGCTTACCATGTCCAATAGGATAAAATTGTTAAAAATATATTGTCTAGGGCCAGGCTCGGTGGCTCAGGCCTGTAATACCAGCACTTTGGGAGGCCAAGAGTTCAAGACCAGCCTAGCCAACATGGCAAAACACCGTCTCTACTAAAAATGCAAAAAAATTAACTAGGCAGGGTGGTGCACACCTGTAATCCCAGCTACTCGGGAGGCTGAGGCATGAGAATCACTTAAAACTGGGAGGCTGAAGTTGCAATAAGCTGAGATCATGCCACTCACTGCACTCCAGCCTGGGTGCCACAGCAAGACTGCCTCAAAAACAACAACAACAAAACAACAAAAAATCCGAAACAAAACAACAGCAAAATAAAATTTGTCTAAGTCTTTACTTTTGTATATTTTGAGAATGGCAATAAGTTAAAAGGCAATAAAAACTAAGAACCTAGTATAGAAACAAGGCACTTAGCAGGTACTCAATAAATGGCTTTTATTTATTTATTTTTTTGAGATAAGAGTCTCGCTCTGTTCCCAAGGCTGGAGTATAGTGGCGCAATCTTGGCTCACTGCAACCTCTGCCTCCTGAGCTCAAGCAATTCTCTTGCCTCAGACTCCTGAGTAGCGGGGAGTACAGGCGACTGCCACCATGCCCAGCTAATTTTTACATTTTTAGTAGAAATGGGGTTTCACCATGTTGGCCAGCCTGGTCTCCAACTACTGACCTCAGGTGATCTGCCCGCCTTGGCCTCCCAAAGTGCTGGGATTACAGGCCTGAGCCACTATGACCAGCCAACAAATGGTTTTTCTTAACTTAAATGTTTTGTTTAAAATGTCTTATAACCATATTATTTGTGTCAGCTTTCAAAGGTCCACAATGACCAGTGAAACTTGGGCTTTAAGCTCAGATCTGTCCATATAGACTTTGATTTTTGGTCCATAATGTTTGATTCCAATATTACCCTGCTCTGACCAAACTTCTCCTAAAGAGCTGATGTGAAACCCGGCTTTGGTCAGCTCTCAACTCCTTAGACTAGGTTTTGGATTCATCCCTTGACCAGCATTCATCTGTCCTCTCCCTTCCTCCATTTCCCACTTCTAAGGGTTTATAGTTACTTTGCCCCTCTAATGAACTTGAAACGGTACAGTCTGGTAGATCACAGAGTTTGCATCACCCATCTACATCACACTGGGTTTTGTATGCCATGCTAAAAGTTTGGACTTTATTTTGGAAGTAAGTGTTTCTTTAACTTAGGTGTTACTCCTAACACCTAATCTTCCCTTTACTCTACCCTAAAGTCTCCAGGGGAAACTGATGCCCCAGGAAAATGTTACATATTTATCCTGTGGCTTCCTGTACCACCTGACATAATACGACATTCTTCTGAAATATCTCTATCTCGGTTTTGAAGAGAACAACTGGGAACCAACAATAACTTTAACTACAGGAGCAACAAAGTCAGTTCTATTTTAGAAAGATCAACTTGACAGTTCAAGTAATATGAACTGCAGAAGTGTGAGGCTACAGATAGATCAATTAGGAAGCTGCCGCAGTAATTCAGGCAAGAGAAGTAGAGAGTACAATCAGGGTAGTAGCAGTGGAAGACTCAAGAAGGAAGAGGTGAGAGGCCAAGGAACCAAGATCTAAAAGGCAAATACCTCGGATATCTACCTTCATTAAAACAGAGAGTACAAGATCTTTAAGTTCAAGATCTAATGTTACAAGATTTCTGCCTTTACTAAAAAAGAAAATATAGGTAGGACAGACCTGAAGGTGGTAAATGGTATGATCAGCATTACTATTTGTTGGTATAAGTACAACCAAATGTTGACTTTCAGGTACTTATAAGCTATCCATCCTGGTATGGATAGTCGGCAATGGATATATTAGTGTGTAGCTCAGGAGAAAATCTGACATAAATTTGAGTTGAAAAATGTGACACAAGTATAATTGTCAATCAGTATCTTGTTTCAGAGATTATTTAAGGCAGTTTGGAATGATACATAAACTATGACATGAAGGAATAAATTAAAACTGGTGCTAAGGAAAAAACAAAAGTAAGGGTGGAATGCTGACCATTAAGAAATTACTAGTGACATTAGAAAAAACAGTTCCAGGCCGGGCACAGTGGCTCACGCCTGTAATCCCAGAACTTTGGGAGGCCAAGGTGGGCAGATCACCTGAGGTCGAGAGTTCAAAACCAGCCTAACCAACATGGAGAAACCCTGCCTCTACTAAAAATACAAAATGACCTAGGTGTGGCAGCACATGCCTGTAATCCCAGCTACTTGGGAGGCTGAGGCAGGAGAATCACTTGAACCCAGGAGGCTGTGGTGAGCTGAGATCACACCATTGCACTCCAGCCTGGGCGACAAGAGCAATACTCTGTCTCAAAAAAAAAAAAAAAAAGGAAAAAGAAAAAAACAGTTCCAATAATGTGACAAGACATAAACCAGTCTGCAACTGGCTGCTGAACTAAATAGAGAATGACCAAATGGAAACTCTTGACTGAAGAAAAGACAGCTAACGATCCAGTCATAGGACAGTTCTTAACCGGGGATCCGCAAATAGGCTTCAAGGAACCCAGTGTTTGACAATGATTATAAAATTTTGTGAACACGAGTGTCCATTCTCTGGCCTGCATATCCATAGCTTTTGTCATCCTTCAGAGAAATCTGTTATATCTCTCAAGAAAAGCACTAAACCACTGCCCATGTGGTCCAAGAGATTTGAACATTAAAAACAAAAATTTTCTTCAGATTTCTCCTGATTATAAAATGTCAACTTGTTGAAACAAACAAACAAACAAAAACATTTTAAAGATACAACAGAGAATGAAAGTTCTTTGTACTCTCTGGGGAGAGTTCTTTGATTTTCTCTGGGGGAGATTAGAGTACAAAGTAAGTCTCTCTGGGGGAGATGAGAGTACAAAGTATGCCTGGCGTACTGTTGTCCACCTAAAACACTCTGGAAAGTAATGGGCTTATTTTACCCAGAGTACTTTCACATTCATACCAAACTCCTCTCACAGCTTGCAGCAGCAAACATTTCCATAAAATCACAACACAAAGTGGTTAATTCTCCATCATACATTCATAATCTGTTTTTTAGTTTAGTCAAGTAAGATAAGCACAGGTTTTAATGGTTTTGTCCTTATTTGGTGGGCAAATACTTTTAATCTTACACTGACACTTGTCACAGGGGACATTCACTATTTTTTTTTAAACACCTCCAGAAATAATTAATGCATATGAATGAAATCAAGTTTCACAAAGGTCAGAAGCTATACAGGCAGTGACCACAGGTACACACTCGGAAAAACACTTAAAATAACATTCATGCCTTAAGCAGGTTAGGGCTCTCTCTTCTCAAACATTTACAATGGTCTTAGAGCTTTTTGAAAAGCTATAGTTTGCCTGTTAAAATGATACTTTTAATTATTTTAGAGCCAAAGATCTGCTTCACCTAGATTGAAGCAGAAAAAGATGGGACTCTGTTTATGGTCATAACATTAAGCACTTAATTAAAATGAAGGCAGTTCTTGAATGCTTTCTAATGCATATAATCCACAGCATCCGAAAAGGTACTCCTCTGCTTCAAAAGGTAAGACAGGGCAGGCATGTGGAAAATAAATTTTGTGTTGGTAGTTTTAGGATTCAGCTGGGATGCTTAAGTTTGAACCTTAAAATATTCATTAAGACAACAATGGTCCTTCTAGTCAGTGTAGGACTATAAATAAATAACTTTTGATCCATTAGCAACACTGGCTATAAGAAAGATAGGTAAAACTAGGAAAAAATAAGCAGATTTCTAGGCCACATTATCCCAGATTTGGTTTCTAATATGAATATAATCAACAACATAATAATGTGGACTCTAATCCTGCTTCTGTCATTTATCAATTGTGCCATCCTATGCAAAACATTTTTCTCTCCAAGTGTGGGTTCTTCACCACTGAGAGAAAGGGAGTTGCCTAGATGATTCCAGAACTGGAGTGAATTTAAAGAGGAAGAGGAGCAGAAAAGAACAAAACATCTTATGGATTCATAAAAGCGATGTCCCTAGCATGGATTCTTTCCTTGTCCTTCCAACATTCATCCTGAAGGAGATCATTGGCAGGGATTTCCATGCAACATAACACACTAGAAAACTACGATTTGGTATATGTACCCTAAGCAATTTTCTCTTAAGATAACTATCACTCTAGGGTAGCATACTCACCCCCAGATGGCTCTCACTGCGGAAATTCGAACTGATGGGGGCTGTGTCTCGTGAAGACCACTAACCGTTGCCTGTAGGAACTGCTGGATTAGTTCAGGAGACATAGCAACAGTGAACCGACTGGCAGCCCAAAGTGCCCGGCCCAAGAGGAAAGGAGACACTGGGAGAAAAACAGAAATTAGAAGCTGGATAACAAAAATTCCTATTACTTGTCCTTCTTCTTTCCCACATTCATTCCTTGATTATATATATATTTTTTTGAGATGGAGTCTCACTGTCACCCAGACTGGAGTGCAGTGGCGTGATCTTGGCTCACTGTAACCTCTATCCCCCCAGGTTCAAGTGTTTTTCCTGCCTCAGCCTCCCAAGTAGCTGGGATTACAGGCACCCACCACCACTCCTGGCTAATTTTTGTATTTTTAGTAGAGACGGGGTTTCACCATGTTGGCCAGGCTGGTCTCAAACTTCTGACCTCAAGTCATCTGCCTGCCTTGGCCTCCCAAAGTATTGGGATTACAGGAGTGAGCCACTGCGCCCAGCCCTCCATTCCTCAATTTTTTAGAAGTAAATGGATGCTACATATTATGCACAACTTACTTGTACATCATACAAGAAAAAGCATAATCTTGTACGATGAAAGCAAATGTGTGACCTGTGGTAGAGAATGGATTTCCGAGTTTTCACTTGCCTTTACAGGGCAAAGTAGGTCTTGAATATTATTAGCCTAAAAAGACTTTGCCACCCCAGTCCTCACCCCTAGCTCTCATTATTCCTTACCTACACTACTAGTTAATCTAAATGCCATCTCCATTGCTACTTTATTCCTACTTTTGGACGACTCTTAAAACATAAAGTATAGCTCTGATCATGTCATTCTTCTATCAATGAACTCCATAGTCCACCAAATAAAGATTACCTTAGTCATCATGTTATTCAAGGCTTCCTAAGATAAGTGACTTTAGCATTCCCTATGATTTCGCTTTATGGTTTCCAAACTCAAGTACACATCACCCCTTAGCAACTTACATCTTACTCTCCCAGCTCTCTGCCTTGTTAATATTGCAAGCAAACACATTCACCTTCTTGCATTACTTAACTCATCTCTTGGGCTGAAGCAATTCTAACTATCTCTGTGCCACGGTAATTCCTTAGCATTCTTACATGCTATAGATTTCGTTTGAGTCTAACCGCTAATATAAGGACTACTACCCTTGTCTATTATAAGCTGCTGAGGAGAGACTATTCTTATTCAGCTTATCACAGGGCTTAACTTGGTTACTCACACAATAAACATCTTGCTGACAGAAATCATTGAACAGAACCTAATAAACTGTGCCAGATAATTATGCAATACAGATGCTCCCCTGCTTATGATGGGGCTACGTCCTGAAAAACTCATCATAAGTTGAAAATACTGTAAATTAAAAATGCATTTAAATTTAATACTGAACATCACGGCTTAGCCAAACCTACCTAAAACATGCCCAGAAAATTTACATTAGCATAAAGTTGGGCAAACTCATCTAACACAAAACCTATTTCATAATAAAGACCTGAATGTCTCATATAATTTACTGAATAATGTACTGAAAGTGAAAACAGAATGGTTGTAAGGGTACTTGAAGTATGGTTTCTACTAAATGCATATTGCTTTGGGATCACTGTAAAATTGAAAAATCCTAAGTCTAACCATTGTAAGTTTGAAATTGTTTATAACTTTATATAATGTACAGAAGTAATTCCCAATGGATGGTCTGGAAACCAAAAATAGGTTTTAACCAAAATAGTTAAAACCAAAAAGGTTAAAACTATTTTCATAGCAATACATAATTTTTTTTCACTTTAATTCTTTTTTTTTTTTTTGAAACTGAGTCTCACCCTGTTGATCAGGCTGGGGTGCAGTGGCACAATTTTGGCTCACTGCAACCTCCACATCCTGGGATCAAGCAATTATCCTGCCTCAGCCTCCCGAGTAGTTAGAATTACAGGCATGTGCCACCATGCCTGGCTAATTTTTGTATTTTTAGTAAAGACGGGGTTTCACTGTGTTAGCCAGGCTGGTCTCAAACTCCTGACCTTGTGATCTGCCTACCTTGGCCTCCCAAAGTGCTGGGATTACAGGTGTGAGCCACCACACCCAGCCTCACTTTCATTCTTTCACAGGTATATAGTGGAGTTTTCCAGAGGTTATATGATATGTGACATCATGGTGCTGACAGCCAGTGGAATGCATGTTTCTATTTCTTTTATTTTAAAAAGTTTCAGTTTTAATCTTCAGCATATTAAATATTAATAAATTAAAGCCACATAAAAATATTTTAAATTGTTGATAATTTGAAACAAAAAAGTTTCAGAATGTTTGGTGTAGAAAAGGTTTTAGCTACAGGCAGTATTAACAAATGATATATATTAAGCCTTTTTACAGTCTAAATAACAAATACTCTAAAATTTCCAAAGTTTTTGAAACTTCTTTGCTAGGGTAAATAAACTCTACAAGAAATGTGTTGATGGGCTTCAGAAATCATTCAACATGTAACGATGGAATGCCTACTCAAGGCACTTATGTGGGGGGTTAAAAAAAAAAGGCACTTGTAGAATACAAAGATTAGACATGATTTCTACTCTCAGAGACCTTACTAGTAGTAGTAAGAAAATATATTCAACAATGTAGCATTTAATAAGTACAGAGTGAAAGAGGATATTCCCAATGGATCTGAGCTCTGGATGTGGAACCATTTTAATTTTGTGATTTAGAGAATGGAAGTGACAGAGTGAGATACCCAATAAAAGATTACCTATTTAAAATCACAGAGCAGAACGTTTTCAAATGACATAAGCTACTCCCAGAGCTATACTATGGAGAGAAAGCGAATGGACTGAAATGGAGCAAACAATACTAAATGTTCCATGATTTAGGAACTGAGAGAGGAAGCAAAGAGAGTGCTTTGGGATGTGGGTTTGACTCTAAGGATGAAAAAAGGCATAGGCAGAAGCAAGTAGCAGAAAATGCCACATAGACAACAATGATTCTTAGCTACTGCTCTGTATTGCTGAAGAAATTGGTCTAATAGTAAAGAGCTACTTTTTTTTTTTTTGTTTTAACTGAGTCTTGCTCTGTCGCCCAGGCTAGAGTAGTGGTGTGATCTCGGTTCACTGCAACCTCTGCCTCCTGGGTTCTCCTGACTCAGCCTCTTGAGTAGCTGGGACTATAGGCGCCTGCCACCACACCTGGCTAATTTTTGTATTTTTTTTTTAGGTTAGTCAAGTGAAGCAGTGGAAGTGGAGATAATTTTTGTATTTTTAGTAGAGACGGAGTTTCACCAAGATGGTCAGGCTGGTCCTGAACTCCTGACCTAAGGTGATCCACCTGCCTCAGCCTCCCAAAGTGCTGGGATTAGAGGCGTGAGCCACGGTGCCCAGCCTACTTTTTTCTTTTTAAGACAGAAAGCTAACACAAGTAGGAGAATGGAACATTTTAATTATTTGGTTATTGACCAAAAATAAAGTTTGAGAAAAATGACAGGAAACAAACAGGAAGAATGTGCCTGACACAGAATGACTGAGGGCATTCTGGACTTAACAATGAGAGCAGAAAGAACCTGGTAATTCTCAAGGTACAGCAACCAGTTTGCATTCCATTCAAATGCCAAAAACAACTGTGAATGGGAATGCCAATTTGGGAAGAAACATAAACATCATGGAAGAATTATGAACTAGGCAGTATTAATTCGTTATTAGGTGAAGCTTTAGCCCAGGCCTCTCGGCTGTTTTAGAGGTTTGGATGAGTTCAAGCTGTAGGATATAAAGAATTTTCACTCAAAGGACACAAGCATATCTGGCCTACCAGTCTAAGTGAACAATATAACCAAGTTAATGATGGGTCTAAAGAGCTTCTAGAATCCTGGCATGTGCTGAAACATACCTGAGAGGTTGAGGTCTGCAAGGATGACATTGGTCAGGAACCCATGCATGTCAAAATGAATCCTGCCGTTTTTTACACTGTCAGTGATGATGGCCTTCACTGAGCCTAGGGCAAGCATGCATGCCTCATGGATCTTCCACCTGTGAAAGGATACTACAGCCTAGTAAAACAAACTACAGTGCCAAAAAAGATAAATATTTGAGGACAGAACATTCAGAAAAGGGCACTCCAGCACAATCTCTCCCAAAAGGGTTATTTACTTTAAGCCCTTATATTTTAATAGCAAAAACAGAGTGAAATTTTAAGAATAAGAGATTATTAAATCTGTTATTAAATTAAAACCATATTTGCAAATTAAAACCAAAATAAATCCATCATTTCACGGCTTTTTAAGAAGGGTAAGCAAAAGCTTCTTAACCAGTTAGCTGCTCACTCTTACCAGTGCTCAGTGCCACTGTTTTTGGTTTGCTCAGCTTCTTGTAAATGTCGAGTGGCTGCAGCAGCCAGGGCTGCTGCACTTTCATTCTGGAAATCTGTGGCCACAGCCTATGGAGAAAGAAGAGCTAATAAATCTGTTTGTGCCCATTAAGTGCATTTTAATTGCAAACTGCTTTAATCGTGACTGTTAGAAGTGATTGGTTCAAGCTCTTTCACATATACATCCAAATCCCTGATTAATTGTATTAAAAATGTTATACCAGTAGGTCAGGGTCTCTAATGAAATAAAACTAATATCTGTATTTCTGTAGTGCCTGGACATTGTAAGGCTAACCAGTTGGCTCCTTTGCTATATTCAGCAGAGTATAAGTGAGCAATAGATCTAGCTTTGGGTGACAATGGGCCAAATAGTTGCTCTTTTGGAACCTGATCTAGAAAAATAAGTCTAATCTACTAATTGAAACCAAATATAATTTTTTGTAGGTCCTTAGAAATACTAAATTAAATGATAATGAGAAGTGATTCATCAACAGAGAACCAATCTTTTACCTAACAAGAAGCAAGTGGTAGTTTCTTCTTAGTATTTCAGCATAGAGACAATGCTATGTTCTAGCTAAAAAACCCAAAGAAACACGAGCAGGCCAGGCTCAGTGGCTCATGCCAGTAATCCCATCACTTTGGGAGACCGAGGTGGGTGGATCACCCGGGGCTGGGAGTTCGAGACAAGCCTGACCAAGATGAAGAAACCCCGTCTCTATTAAAAATACAAAATTAGCCAGGTGTGGTGGCTCATGCCTGTAATCCCAGCTACTCGGGACGATGAGGCAGGAGGATCGCTTAACCCAGGAGGCAGAGGTTGAGGTGAGCTGAGATCGCGCCATTGTACTCCAGCCTAGGCAACAAGAGCGAAACTCCGTCTCAAAAAAAAAAAAACAAAAAAAAAAGAAAATGTGAGCAGATACTTGGATGTTCATCTTTTAGCAATCTGTTCTGTTTTGTTAGGTTTGCCAACCTTTGATCTGTGCTATAGATTCTTGTTGAAGAATGAATTAACGGAAATGTTCTGGATTCAACTACTCTTACTCCATGGAACACTTTATCCCCTACACAGTTCTCCCCACTATTCCAGCACTATGGTCTGCACAATTCTTACATTCAATAAGTCAGAACCAGTAGCAATGACTTTAGGATTTCTGAGTCTCAAACTTCATTTCAGAAACTCTTGTATTACCCAAAGAGGTCTGAGATGAAGCCACTCAACAACATTGATCACCTTGGATTAGTTACTAGAAGAGGAAATGCTCAAGTGACTGATTAAAATTATGTGGCTGAAGTATCAAGGTAAACCTACCAGCAACAAGTCTTGAGCTGCTATTCTAACAGTGTAGGAGAATGTATCATCATCTTCATCTTCTACAAATTGTTGGGGGTTAGCTGTCCATACTTTAATCTGAAAAGATGAAGTTTTATCTTTGTGATGCTGCCAATCTGATTCATAGCTTTTTATCAACAGATACAGGAAAACTCCAACCTATTATCCTGAACAAAACTCTAGCCTTAACCGGGTGCAACGGCTCACAACTGTAATCCTGACACTTTGGGAGGCCAAGGTGGGAGGACTGCTTGAGCCCAGGAGTTTGAGACCAGCCTGGGCAACATAGTGAGACCTCAACTCTACAAAAAATAAAAAAAGTCTTCTGTGAGTAGATGAGGAACAGCAGAGATAGAGAGAGAGAGAGACAGAGAGAGAGAGAGAGAGAGAAATATAAAAGTCAATTGGGCATGGTGGCATATGCCTGTGGTCCCAGCTTCTCAGGAGGCTGAGGCATGCAGATGGCTTGAGTTTGGGAGGTCAAGGCTGCAGTGAGCTGTGTCTGCACCACTGCACTCCAGACTGAGCAACACAGCAAGACCCTGTCTCAAAACAAAACCAAAAACACACCAAAAAACTCTAGCTTCAAAAATCTTTTCTTTCTGATGTAGACAAACAAATAGTATCAAGTAGCAAGGCAGGCAGCAACAGCTACCGCTCTCTTTTAGAATCTGGCCAATTACCAGCTCTCTGCCACTGTCAACCAGTTGTTACCCTTTGATAGATTGACTTTCTGAACATATTAAGTCTGATGGAATATTTACTTTGAAAATTAGGTCAATTCTTGTGCTGTTTTAAACAAGGCATTATCTAATTTTGAACATTCTTTGCTGGTTTTAATGACCCACCATCAGGCTAATGGTTGATCTCTACATTTTACTATAAGGAAGGAACAGATCTAAAAATCAGGGTCTTAGGTTAGTAGTCCTGTGAGATTTTCTAACGGCAAAAGCAGGCCAGGCACAGTGGCTCGTGCCTCTAATCCCAGCAATTTGAGAGGTCAAGGTGGGCAGATTACTTGAGCCCAGGAGTTAGAGACTACTAGCCTGGGCAACATAGTATTTTTCTACAAAAGAATAAAAAATTAGCTGGGTGTGATGGCAAACTCCAATACCTTGCATTTGGCAATAAAATGATGTCACAGCTTTCCTAGAACTTCACATGAAATTATTTGTCTTGTGTGTATTTTTAGAAATAAAGTGTTCACTTGACCAAGACTTCACATTCTTCAAGTTGCACTTTCCAAATACATGATGGTAACTGTCTCTCGAATATTATTTACCTGCTCCTCAGTGATTTGCATGTACAGGATAATATAATAAATCAATTCAGGCAAGGCTTTCTTAACAGTGCTTTTGAATTTGCTATTTTCTAGTAGAGCATGAACAAATTCAAAAATGCTAAAGACAAGATTTTCAAAGCCCAGGACTTCACCTACAGGAAATATACAAAAGAAGAAATTAATGGCGAGAAAGTAAAAAGAAAGCATACATGCTGAAAATGAACTATATTATCTCTGTAAATTATTGAATATTTAAAGTACTTGCTAATAATTATTCCTGAGGAATTGGGAGAGGGCTCAGAAGTCACAAAACAGAATTTTGAGGACATTAAATATTCTTTGGTTTTTCAAGTAAAATAACCAGAAACACTGAATATATTTCCCAGTATGTCTATTTTTCTAATCTGAAATACTTCGAAATATTAAAATAGAAATAAAAGACTCATCAACTGGGACACCAAAATGAAACATGACAAAATGCCAGAAACAGGCTAGATTAAATGGTCTTAAAAGCATCTCTTCCAACTCAGAAATTCTATGATTTTATGAGATTTATGCAAATACCTATGAGGAACAGACTGAAGACTGTCAATTCTTATTTCCTCACATCTAATATACTGAAAATAAACTCAATTAGAAAACACTTAATAGAATGAAGCCTCTCAAGTTTACTGTTTTTTTTACCTCCTGTCTCTGGCTTCTTTTTCTTTTTCCACTAAGTGGCATTTCTATAAAGATCAAATAAACTACATACCATCAGAATCCACGGGATCTTCTACTTCTTCTGTGTAATTTACTTCTGTCCTCACATAAGTATGATGAAGAGTAAAGAAATAGAATTTGGAGTTTGCTTTACATATAATCTACAAGGAAATGTTACATACTCCAACACTAAAAGTAGACACCTTAAAAAGGCCTGTTTAAGAAGAGTAGAACCACATGAATGAGAGACCCAATGCTAGATTCCTAACTATAGGTGGTAGTAGCTCCCTTAAGCTTTCAAGAAAGGATATAAAGCTGCACTCTCAGTTAGGGTGTTCCAAACAATAGGCAGAATCTGCTGCATGGAGGACACCATGTGCTTTGGGAAGTTTTTCACTAGGGCTGTCACTGCCTAAGAAGTTAAGAGAAAAAGATCCAAGTTATGAGTGATATATAAGAAATCAATGATTTCAGACCACCCTCTTAAACTCCAAGTATTTCATTGGTAGGAAGTGTTTACCTTTAGGACCTCCATCTTAAACCCACTGTCAGATGTTGGGCCATCTGGTATCTGGAGGGCCTGAACAAAGGCCTCTGTGAACTGCTGTACCACGGGAAAGATCAGGACTTTGGCTGCACCCTGATAACAGAAACCAAAGTCGATGCTGGATAAATCCCTAATCCAGTCAATGCTTGAAAACATATGTATCAAACACTGATATTTGAAAGGCACCTGAAGCTCTCTTCAGGTTCCGAGACAGACCAGAAGAGAATAGCTATAAGGTCAGTGAAGGTGTTACCCAAAGTTTCATTAACCAGCACTGGTAGTTCTTCATCACAGCCCTCTTACAAACTGTTACGCAAGACCGACGACTTTCCTCATAACTGTTTCTGAATCACAGGGATTGCTTTGCTTCACACAAAAGGGGCCATAAAAGAGTAGGAAAGTTCTGAGTGATGACTACTGCGAAAAGGATATAGGATAAAGTGTTTGAAGAAGTAAGACTCAAAAGGCGACTAAGCTTTTTTTTTTTAAGATAATTTTTAAGTGTGAGGGAGATCCATTTATTAGCATAAGTTATTCAATAGCCTTATTTAAGGCCAGAACCCAGTGATTTTTAATTGAAAATACTGGCTGTGAATTGCTGGAAGTTTTAATAATGTTATCCCTGTCTTGAAATTCTACTACACAAAATTGAGTCAAAGAGCATCTGTGAGTCACCTGAATTTGTCTCCTGGCCAGCTGCATATTTGATTTTGAATCATTGTGCTGCCTTGGATCCAAGGCACTGTTGTTCTCAGCTCTAGACCTTGTCATCCTCTCTAGTTCTGTTTTAATGATGAGGGATGGTAAACTGGGCTGGGAATTGAGAGATTAATATTTGGATTACATTTCTACCACAAGGAGTTGCATGACCTGTGATTAGAGACGCTGGCATTTGATGATAATTCACTAAAAAATTGCCATACAACTTATCGCCATGTCGCCCAAAGACATCCAGCATTTAGAATTTATCATTCCTTTAATACAACAAACAAAACAAAATACACTCTAGGCCAAATTCACATCTGGTTGGGAATCCTAGTATCTCTGTGGTAGGGGTAGGGTTCAACTGTTCACAGCATATTTTTCTTTGGTTTCCTACTCTTCATTTCCTGCTTCTGTTAAATTCTTATTACCTGTCTGCATCTCACCTCCTGGCCATTTTTTCCCTTCTATTTTTGTCATTAACTCCATATATGGAAGACAACTTTGTCTTTAATTTTCCACCAATTCTCTTTTACCCAAGACAGTGTATCTTGCAAATTTTTACTGAAAGTCTGGCATAAAGCATGCGTGTGTGCGCGCGTGTGTGTATGTAGATTAAGCTTTTTACAAATTGAAAATTCAATCAGGCCAAGTGTGGTGGCTCACACCCGTAATCCTAGCACTTTGGGAGGCCAAGGTGGGAGGGTCACTTGAGCCTAGGAGTTCAAGATGAACCTGGGCAACACAGGGAGAGACCCACTCTCTACAAAAATAGATTCGTTAGGCCAGGCATGATGGCTCACGCCTGTAATCCCAGCAATTTAAGAGGCTGAGACAGGCGGATCATGAGGTCAAGAGATTGAGACCATCCTGGCCAACATGGTGAAACCCCGTCTCTGCTAAACACACAAAAATTAGCTGGGTATGGTAGCACGCACCTGTAATCCCAGCCACTCAGGAGGCTGAGGCAGAAGAATTGCTTGAACCCAGGAGGTGGAGGTTGCAGTAAGCCGAGATTGTGTGACTGCACTCCAGCCTGGCAACAGAGCAAAACTCTGTCTCATAAAAACGACAACAAAAAAACTCAAATAAATAAAAAAATAAAAATATAGCTGGGTGCTGTGGTTCATGCTTATAATCCCAGCACTTTGGGAGGCTGAGGTGGGAAGATTACTTGAGCCCAGAAGTTCAAGAGCAGCCTGGGCAATATAGTGCAACCTCATCTCTACAAAAAAAAAAAAAAGAGAAAAGAGGATCAGCCAAGTGTAGTGGTGCACATCACACGTGTAGTTTCTACTGGGGTGGGAGTTGCAGAGGTGGAAGGATTACTTAAGCCCAGGAGTTCGAGGCTGCAGTGAGCCATGATTGCACCACTGTACTCTAGCCTAGGTGACAGAGCAAGACCTTGTCTGGAAAAATAATAATTTAATAAAAATGTGTCTATCTCTAATACTGGTTAGTGTGCTTTTTGGTGCTGCTATCATGAAATGACTCACTGCTTTGCATGAATAAGACTTTTAAGCATGAAGTCTGTTATTGATCCAAAGACCCGCTTACCTTTTCCAGCTCCTCCATGTTACAGATCATATGGGCACAAGTGGTAAAAATCTCCACAGCTCGGGAACGGGTTCGAATACCATAGACCTGGAAAAAAGGTTACAGAATAGCTATGAGATTAGAGCATGTAGGTATGTGTGTATCTCTGACTAGAAGTAAAGCTATGACTAATGAATCCTCACATGACATTAGATATCCTTGAGAGATGGTAAATGTCATTCATTTATGTCCAGGAGGCAGACTTCCGTAATTGAGAGAATGAAACATAGTAGAATCATAATGTTGGAACTTACTGTAATGAACCTTATATATGGGCTTCTGGTTCATTTGATTAATAACCGGGCCGGGCGCGGTGGCTCACGCCCGTAATCCCAGCACTTTGGGAGGCCGAGGCAGGTGGATCATGAGGTCAAGAGACTGAGACCATCCTGGTCAATATGGTGAAACCCCATCTCTACTAAAAATACAAAAAATTAGCTGGGCATGGTGGTGCGTGCCTGTAATCCCAGCTACTCAGGAGGCTGATGCAGAATTGCCTGAACCCAGGAGGCAGAGGTTGTGGTGAGCCGAGATCGCGCCATTGCACTCCAGCCTGGGTAACAAGAGCAAAACTCCATCTCAAAAAAAAAAAAAAAAAAAAAAAAAAAAACCACCAGGCTGGGTAGTGCTTAAAATCCCAGCCTGGTGGGATTTTTGAGCAAAAATAAATAAATAAATAAAAAGCAGGAGTTGCAATTCTCACATCTGATAAAATAGATTTCAAAGCAACAAAGATATAGTGGTAAAAGGATCAATGCAACACTAACACCCAGATACATAAGACCCATAAAGAGATTTAGACTCAACAAGACAGAAAATTAATAAGGATACCCAGGACTTAAACGCAGATCTGGAACAAGTAAACTCAATAAATATTTATAAAGCTCTCCATTTTAAATACACAAAATATACATTCTCCACCTTAAATACACAAAATATTGATCGGCCATTATTAATGCCCATTTTTAGAATAAAGCTACATTCCCATTCTCTCTCCCTCTTTTTCTTCCTCTTTCACTCTCCTTTTTCCTTCTTCCTTTTTCTTCTCCTTCACTCCTTTTTTTTTCTTTCTTTAAAAGAAAAATCCTAACACAGCCAATATATTTCCTTTAAAATGCAGATCATTGGTTGAGGGCTGAGGGGTATAGGGAAGTTAAAAGATTATCAGGGATTTATACCTTATTATAAATACGTTATTCATATACACACTAATCAAATATACATACAATATATTAAGGGTCTATTATGTGCAATGCAGTGATAGATTGCTTCCAATTACTTAGCTGAGGTAGGCAAGCTGAGGTGGGATAACTCAATGAGGCTGGAAGTAGCATGAAGGCACTATTTATTTACTTAGGGGCTCCTGGATGCCAGTAAGTATGATATGTGAAGAAATATTTAAGCTATTTCACTTTTTTGTTTTTTGCGATGGAGTTTCGCTCTTGTTGCCCAGGCTGGAGTGCAATGGCATGATCTTGGCTCACTGCAACCTCCGCCTCCCAAGGTCAAGCGATTTTCCTGCCTCAGCCTCCCAAGTAACTGGTATTACAGGTATGCACCACCATGCTAGGCTAATTTTTGTATTTTTAATAGAGACGGGGTTTCTCCATGTTGGTCTGGCTGTTTGGTCTTGAACTCCTGACCTCAGATGATCTGCCTCTGTCAGTCTCCCAAAGTGCAGTGATTACAGGTGTGAGCCACTGTGCCTGGCTATTGCACTCTTTTATCAAAGGCTTGCCCTTATAGTTGAGTGAAAGGTCCAAGGTTAATTCAGATTTCAGTTCTAGTCTTTAGATATTGACATCAGTTACAAACACTATAATCTCCCAACTGAGAGGTGGGGGCTGACGAGAGCCTGAACTCACTATAATCTTGGAGCTGAGATTTCATACCTCAGCCATGGTGAAGATCTTATACATTTCTGGGAGAATGACAGGAGCAACAAGTGGCATCTGTGTGTCCGTCACTTCTCGAGTGAATTCTACGAAGAAAAAAGCAGTACTGTTAAAAAAAAAAATACTGCTTCATACAGATATTAAGCGTGATATTTGTGAACTGCTTCTAGGTGGCAGTTCCCAAACAGACAGGACACAGGTAAAGACAGTGGCCTGGTGGTCTCATTCTGTGAAAGCAAAATTAGCGAGAGTTGCTGATTATTTGTTAGAAGGAGAAAGAATAATATGGAAATAGAGAAAAATACAAGAGATTAAAAAAGAAAACAATACAAATACTGAAAGAAAATCTGTAATAGAACTATGTAAAAGTCCTTGTGAGGTAAACTTGGAAAATTCTGTATTAATTTATCATGTGCCCATTTGTCAACATTCAGTTACACTTTGAGGTTTCTTACCTTTGGTTCTGTTTTCAGTACTTTTGCTTGGCAAGCTAGTTTGATGCACATAATATAACATGTACAGACTTAGTAGGCCTCAACTCTATTTTGTATATTTATTGACCTAAAAGTTAGAGGCTGTTACTAACTGGAACAAAAAGGGATTTTCTACATAAATGTGGCAAAAAAGCATCCTATACACAGAATGAGACTTGAAGAAGGTGACGGAAATATGGGTCGTATCTTTCCTTTCACTTCTTAAAAAAAAAAACCCACACCACACACAAGGCACTGAGACAGCACAAAGGACCCTGGATTCATGTTACAAAGAAGCAGGATAAAAGCCCTTGAGTTCTAATAAGTATTCACTTCACCTGATGCTTTTCTACATTATCACTATAAAAATGGAAACAGAAGCTGTGCACAGTGGCTCACACCTGCAATCCCAGAGCTTTGGGAGGCTGAGGTGGGAGGATCAATTGAGGCCAGGAGTTCAAGACCAGCCCGAACATAGCAAGATATGCCACTACATTTAAAAGGAAAAAAAAAAGCTGCATGTGGTGGCATGTGCCTGTAATCCCAGCTACTTAGGATGCTGAGGCAGGAGGAGTAAGCTACAATAGGGCCACTGTACCCAAGCCTGGGTGACAGAGTGAGACCATACCTCTAATAATAAATAAATAAATAGCTAACCACTTGGGACATTTTGGGGGAAGATACACAGCTAGAAACACAAGTTGGCAGAGTGAGACCACATCTCTAATAAATAAATAAATTTAAAAAAAAGTTAACCACTTGGGACATTTTGGGAGAAGATACACAGCTAGAAATACAAGTTGGCATTTTCAGGATTAATGTACTCAATAGTTTTGGGCAATATCAATCCCCATGAGTCAAATGAAGATAAAATACTCAAGGATGAATTTTCTTTACTAGCTGTAATTTCTTCCTCAAGAATAAAGTCTGAGCTTTGAATAGTGAGTGTTCTATTTTATTTAGAAATCCAAGGAAATTAGTTGAAATAAACATAATAGATGGCATAATGATAACAACCTTTATGAAAAATATAGTATGATTTCTTTTTTTTTTTTTGAGATGGAGTTTCACTCGTCACCCAGGCTGGAGTGCAGTGGTGCAATCTTGGCTCACTGCAACCTCTGCCTCCAGGGTTCAAGCGATTCTCCTGCCTCAGCCTCCTGAGTAGGGATTACAGGCGCCTACCACGCCCAGTTAATTTTTTTATTTTTGGTAGAGACGGGGTTTCACCATGTTGGCCAGGCTGGTCTTGAACTTCCAACCTCAGGTGATCCACCTGCCTTGGCCTCCCAAAGTGCTGGGATTACAGGTGTGCGCCACCACATCCAGCCAATTTAATTCTACTAATAAAGCGCTTACCTGCTTTTTACTCTCCTATACTCAACCCTGGTGTCAATTTATTAATATTTTATAGGTTTAATTCCAAAAGTTTTCTGAAGTGATTCTGCAAGTCAGAAAAATTCTGGGACTCCAGCAACACCTCAATCTCCAAACTTCTTTGAGACTGAAGAAAAAGCTGTATCTGTGGATCAATCCTTAGCTGGTATGTTTGCATTTCCTTCACAACATGAGCCTTAGTCAGTTCTCATCTATAAGTAGATAAGTTTAAAAGGAAGCCTCATTAAAGGGAAACTGGTACAGTATCTTGAAAGACTCTGAAGAGAATCAGTACCATTCTCCTAATGGGCCTCTGTCCATCGCCAATGTCTTGCTATCCTCGTGCATGCCTAAGTTTTTGTTGTCAGAGCGTTGTCTGCCCTTGTTTGAAAATATGTGGAGCAATTATTTGGGAATAGCACTTGGCTGCCAGCCATTCCATGTCTGGTGACTCCATTACAAAAGGAGACAAATTTCCCCAACAGTTCTTTCCCTGTGGCTGGCAGAAAAGTGATCTCACTGAACAGTAATTTCCTTAGTCAAACACAATAAGGGCTCTTGAGCATCCAAATCAAGATAAATGTACAAACACCTTTACTCTCCAGGTTTGTCAAAAGAAGCTGAATTTCATGTTGGAAGTCTGAGAGGGAATAGGTTTCCTTTCGTTGGTAGAACATGTATCTGTTAATCGATATACTGGCACTATGAAGTTGTGAATAAAGAATTCTAAAAGGCCAATTCCATGGAGAGGGGTGTGTGAAATCACCTGAATAATGCATGAGTCATAAAGGAGAAGCAAGGGCAATAAGCAGGGAAGTAAAAATCTGAGCAAGTAACATTTTGATCTTTTTGGTAAGTCTGTTCTGTATCTGGGCTAAAAATTGAAGCTTTGTCACAGGCAATCAATACGAATATCGTGGGTAATTCAAAAAGACAGCTGGGGCATGGGAAGAGGTGGTTTTGAAACAAAAAGAGAAAAAAGACTTGTATTTGGCAAAGAGTTGATATTATCTACCATTAGTATCACACAGACTAGCAAAATTGGACCTATGTGCTAAGTTCAGTAAACTGAGATTCAGAGAGAATAGAATTGGCATGCAGAACCAGGTAAGAATACATTTCAGGTAAACTAGCAGGGCATACAGAAAGAGATAAGGTATTGGTGGGACTTTGACAAACCTGTGTGAATGAAGGACAAAGATGATTTCTAAAAGATCAGTACAGGATGACTAAAGTCCAGGTAAGAATTTCTTGAAGGCAAAACAGAGTAGTGACTTCATCTAGGGAATAGAAAGCAGGGAGGAACTTGCAAAGGACTGGGAAACTCAGGCCATCCCTAAGGACATATGAAAGTAGACTCTGGGTGGGATTGACAGATTAATCAGGTTTAGAAGAGATATCCATCAAATCTCTTTGAACTAAAAGCTGAAGTTTTCTTTCTTTCTTTCTTGCTTTCCTTTCTTTTCTTTCTTTCTTTCTTTTGAGATGGAGTCTTGCTCTGTTGCCTAGGCTGGAGGGCAGTGGCACGGTCTCGGCTCACTGCAACCTCTGCCTCCCTGGTTCAAGTGATTCTTCTGCCTCAGCCTTCCGAGTAGCTGGGACTACGGGCGAACGCCACCACACCCGGCTAATTTTTGTATTTTTAGTAGAGACAGGGTTTCACCATATTAGTCAGCCTGGTCTCGAACTACTCACTTCATGATCTGCCCGCCTCGGCCTCCCAAAGTGTTGGGATTACAGGTGTGAGCCGCTGCACCCGGCCTAAAGTTGAAGTATTTTTATCAACTTCTCAGAACAGAGAAAAAGAAAAGATACTGAGACTGCATATTCTTTAACTGGCCAAATGAAGGTCAGGATTATATGGCTATACTGTTTTTATCTTCTTTTTAATATTTCTATAAAAATCCACTTTACAATTCTTAACTTTGCCTTGGTTGAACAAAGTGGAAAAATAATATATAATAATTATCAAAGTAACTAAACTCTACTGAACATGTCAATAAAGACAGATTAGCTATTTAAACTATACCAAAACCTTTTTTATGCAGACACTACTAACATCTTAATTTTATATACAAGGAAACTCAGGCTTAAAGAAGGTAAGTGAAGGATCAAGGTGAAGAATCCAAAATCTGAATACTCAATCACTATGCTATTACTGTATCTGTAAGTGGTAAGGTTTGGTAGTATATGTAATACTATAAAACTTCATTCTCTAGAAAAATACAATGGAGCTGCAGGGTAGATGCAGAGATAAAAACTAGGAGGAATAACATAAGCAGCAGTTCCTACTGGTCTGGGCCATTCTATCACATAGCTTCTTATAATACTCTCGTTGCTTGAGATCCAAGTACCAATACCAGGGAAAAGGGCTTCTGGTACCTGTCAGAACACGCATGGCTCCATGGACGGCATTTAAGTCTCCGCTCACCAACATCTCCATGAGCAGGTTGAAGAGTTGGGGCCAAGCTTCAGGCCAGTCCCAGTGGGCAATAGCTGACACTGCATAGGCCACACTGGAGCGCACTTTGCTTATCGATTCTCTCAACCCATTAGGCAATAGCTCCCGGATAACAATTTTTGCCTGTAAGGGATAAAAGTCCACCTGCTATTAGATCAGGTTATATGTGACTGGCAGAGCCCAGTCCAGTTGGGAACTGTGTTGAAAAAATAATGCATACAAGGTACTGCATATCTACAGCAAACTCCTATATATAAACTTGACAATTCATTTGGAGAGTTCATCTGTGATCTCTAAACTTATGACGTCCATTACAGTAGCCACTAGCCACACATAGCCATTACAATTTTTAAAAATTTAAAATTCAGTTCCTCAGTTGCACTAGCCCCATTTTAAGTGCTCAACAGCCATATGCAGCTAGTAGCTATTGTTTTAGACAGCACAGATACAGAATATTTCCATAATTGCAGAAAGTTCCAGTGGAAAACTTGCTCCAGATCTTATACCTCAAAATTTCTTAAGAACTTAGATGATTCCACAGTACCGCACTAAGTACAAACATTATTTAATTCTTAAACCCTTAGTTGGTAGTTTTATTCTCATTTTAGAGATTTAGGAAATTAAGGCTTAGGCATTAACTACATTTCCAATGATCTCATAGCTTGTGAAAAGCAAAACTGGAATCTGAACACAGAGCAGCCTGACACTTGAGCTCTCTAATCTACAGCACTATGCCCACAATGCCAGCCACCAATCTCCTTTTCTGCCTAGTCTTTTGATTGCTCCATGCTGTCAAAGAATGTGGATAGTCTAATCTCTTAAAATGGACCCTCATATTTCCTCAGGCAGACTAATCAATAGTAACTGACTTACCCTTTCTGTAGTTTCAGGAGGCCTAAATTTCTCTGACTGGGCACACCAGTGAGTCTCCACATATTGTTTCAAGATGACTGATGCCAGCTGTGAAGAGAATAAGCCAAGTAGTACAGCAAGAAAAAGATTTTTTTCACACATAAAAACTATACACATGGCCCGATACATTTGAAGTATATCTAAATCTGGCACAACATCCTAGGTTATTTATAAACTGGTCTTATTCTTTCCCTTTCCCATGAGAAAGTTTCATTACCAAGAAAAGGGAAATTACTTATAAATTGGGCCAGTATGGACTTACCTGACGGATTGCCAGTGCCCCCTGGGGATCTACAGTCAGCTCTGCCAAGTGAACACCAAATTCTGAAAAAGAAAATTTTATTGTGAGTCTAAGGGCACCCAGGAAAGCCACAGCAATTTACTAAGCTCTAACCCTTATGCCAACAAGATTTCAGAAAGAAACTTAATCTGTTGCTTCAAAAAGAGCTGATAACTGCTAAGATTGGTTCCTCCGAATAAAAGAAACAAGTTGGCCTGCAGGACATGTTACAATGAAGTTCTAACACCCTCACACTTTCTCCAATCACTGCATAGCACCTTCTAGCCATCTTCCCTTCCAAGATGGCAACACCTTCCTTGTAGACCAATTAAGGCGGTAACTAAGTGAAACATGGAGCCAGGCATGGTAGCTCACCGTCTGTAATCCCAGCTCTTTGAGAGGCCAAGGTGGGTAGATCACTTGAGGTCAGGAGTTTGAGACCACCCTGGCCAACATGGTGAAACCCCATCTCTACTAAAAATACAAAATTAGCTGGGCTTGGTGATGTATGCCTGTAATCCCAGCTACTCGGGAGGCAGAGGCAGGAGAATTGCTTGAATCTGAGAGGAGGAGTTTGCAGTGAGCTGAGATTGCACTGTTGCACCCAGCCTGGTAACAAGAGTAAAACTGTCTCAAAAAAAACAAAACAAATAAAAAAACATGGAACCATTTATTCCTGAGGACAACTTAAAAGGTGAGATTTCATGAGTTGTCCAGATGTATGCCACCAATTATGAACTGATTAAGTATAAGAAAACCTGGTTTCAATAAACTTAGTCCTAAAAACAAGCAGTTTCCAATGAGCAATGGAACATGAACTGCACATTGGGAGGCTGTAAATAACTCTTACTTCCAAATTAAAATTTATTTTAAAAAATGGTTATTACTAAAATAAATTTTGTTTCAGAGATAGGGTCTCACTCTGTCTCTAATATAATCATAGCTCACTGCAGTGTCAAACTCCTAGGCTCAAATGAACTTCCTGCCTCAGCCTCCCAAGTAGCTGAGGCTACAGATGCATGCCACTGTGCCTGGTTCCAAATAAAAATTTAGACCTAATATATACTTGCAAAGGAGTCAACTATCAAATATTTTTGCAAAAAGAGGAAGAATGTAAGAGAATGTAAAACCAAGAGTGCATTGTAATTTTTACATCTCGCACTGCAGGGCTATGCTATCCAATGCAGTAGACATTAGCACAATGGCTACTAATACCTGTAATGTGGCTAGTGAGAACTGAGATGATGTCCGTAAATGTAATACACACTAGATTTCAAACTTAGTATAAAAAAGAGTAAAATATCCTTTTATATTGATCAAATGTTGCAATAATACTTTGCCTATATCAGGTTAAATACAGAGTTAAAATTTAATTTTATGTTTCTTTTTGCCTTTTTAATGCAGGCACTAGAAAATTTAAAATTTCACATGTGACTCATACTGTCTTTCTGTTGGACAGCACTATGCTAAAGAATGAACAGCAGCTTTCAAGACTTGCTCAGTTTTGGTAGACACATAGGTCACAAAAGGCTCACCACTCCCATTTGGAGGGAGCTATAGTGTGATTAAGAGAATGGGATGTTTAGGTTCAAATCCTGAAGCCACCATGCCTGTCCTTAGGTAAGTTTCCTTTCTAAACCTCAGCTTCCTCTCCCACAAAATAAAGATATTAGTATCGGGGCCAGGCACAGTGGATCACGCATGTAATCCCAGCACTTTGGGAGGCCAAGGCGGGCGGATCACCTGAGGTTGGGAGTTTGAGACCAGTCTTACCAACACGGAGAAACCCCGTTTCTACTAAAAATACAAAATCAGCCAGGTGTGGTGGCATATGCGTGTAATCTCAGCTACTTGGGAGGATGAGGCAGGAGAATTGCTTGAACCCAGGAGGCGAAGGTTGCTGTAAGCCAAGAACACACCACTGTACTCCAGCCTGGGCAACAAGAGTGAGTGAACCTCCATTTCAAAAAAAAAAATATGGTATAGATGTATCAAGCAATCCTTCTAAGACTGAATAATTTAACATATGAAAAGTGCTTTGCACAATATCTGCCATAGTGGTAAAAACTCGAAGAAAAAAATAGGTTATTTTGCTATTATTTTTTATTGTCCATCACGAATACACTGGGTATGGCTTTCCCATCTCTGTAAGTAAAGTTACTTTCCATGTAAGTTCTACTTTCACTGGAATGGCCATTCAAAGGGCATTTATTTATACAATAGAAAAGCTTAATATCAAGAAAGAGTTGTTACATGCAATGTTTCAAGTTCAAGGCTTATCCAAGTAACCAGGGCAAAAACTGCTGAAAATGACCTATGTCCATATTTTACAAAATAATTTTTAGACTTATAGAAAAGCTGAATAGTACAGAGTTCATGGATATCATTCATCCATTTTCCTCTTATATAACCATGATTCAGTGACCAAAAACCAGGAAATTAACATGGGTACAATACTATTAACTAAACTAGACTTGATAAGAACTTCACCAGTTTTTTTCCTTATTGTCCTTTCTCTTTCAGGATCCCATGATCCCACATTGTATTTGGCTGTCATGTCTCCTTAGTTTCTTCTAAAGTATGACAGTTCTTCATTCTCATCTTTTGTGACTAGAACACTTTTGATGAATATCGATCAGTTATTTTGTAGAATGTGTCTCAATTTGGGTTTGACTAAAGTTTCTTCATGTTTAGATTGAGGTTATGCATTTTTGGCAACAATACCAGAAAGTGATGCTGTGTCCTTTTCAGTATATCATACTAGGGAGTACATAATGTTGATAAAAATGTTATTACAGGTAATGGTAACCTTGATCACATGGCAAGGTCTGCCGGGTTTCTCCACCTAAAGGTACTGTTTTTCCCTTTGTAACTGATCCAGATCTTGGGAGAAATACTTTGACATTTTGCTATTATCCTGTTTCTTTTCAAACTCTCACCCACTGATTTTAGCATCCATCTGTGGGTGTTACCTGTCTAATGGTGATTTTTTCTTTCTTTTATTCTCTTATTAATTGGAATTCCTTTATTAGGAAGTACTGTCTCTTCTCCTTTATATTACAATATTATAAAAGATGTATTTTGGCAGCTACTCAGGAGGCTGAGGCAGGAGAATTGCCTGAACCCAGGAGGTGGAGGTTACAGTGAGCCGAGATCGTGCCATTGCACTCCAGCCTGGGTAACAAGAGCAAAACTCCGTCTCAAAAAAAAAAGGATGTATTTTGGTTTTCATCCATGATTCCTGATTCTTAGCTCCTGTAAGTCTTATTATTTCCTAAGTGACTAGAGTAATATCATTTTTTCTTTTTTTTTGAGACAGAGTCTCACTGTCTCCTTGACTGGAGTGCAGTGGTGCTATCTCAGCTCATTGTAACCTTTGCCTCCTGGGTTCTGTCTCAGCCTCCCAAGTAGTTGGAATTACAGGAGTGTACCACCACGCCCAGCTAATTTTTATATTTTTAGTAGTGACTGGGTTTTGCCATGTTGGCCAGGCTGACCTTGAACTCTTGACCTCAAGTCCCCGGCCTCAGCCTCACAAAGTGCTGGGGATTACAGCTGTGGGGTACCACACTTGGCCAAGAATATCTTTTGTTAAAGTATTTAGCCTTTGTTCTTGGTTCCTGAAGAAGCTCCTGAAGGACAAAGGTGACAGATAGTCTTTTCTTATGTACAAGATACTTCTTCCTGTCTTTTTTTCCCCCACATCACCTCAACTTTCTTTTTTTTCCCATTCCCCTACCTGATGCAATGGTCTTAGGACCAAGGCTGCAACTACATGTGCTGGAAGCAGGGATGATTCCTAAGCAAGAAATTATAACTACGTATTTTAACTTAGGTCAGAATTTCTAATGGACTGATGGGAATGGGTTGTGCCTTCACCTCATCCAGCAAAATTGGAGCTAACAGTTAAAACAGCTATATTGCCTGATGGCAAAAAATAGTCCACTAGTTTTGCACCTCTATAACCTAACCCTGTCTGAATGGGGGTACACTGAGGAAGAAGTACTTGCTAGACTAGTATTGTTGCCTGCAATCTAGACTAGCACAGTGGCTGATTGCAATGCCCCTTCCAAAGGTGGAAAGTTTGGGTACTTTTTAGAGAGAAGAAACAGTAGCTCAGAGGAAAGAAATGAGTAAGTGGATTATGAACTGAGAGGAATCCAATTATCACATTAACACTTCAAATGAGGCTCAGAGCAAGAGATGACACTGCCTCTTACCTCGATTATATCAAATGCCTGAAATGGTAAAGCTCTTGTGTTTGCTGAGACTACTTCGGCTTTTGGAACCTCACAAGAATGAAAGGAAGCCTGCCAACCTGAGTGGTCTCACCCTTGGAGATAGTCATACAATATAATGAACTAGACTAATTATTAATTATTGAATGGGATTCTAGTAATGTGGCAGAATCTTCTGAGTCGTACATCCTTTTGACGTAAGGGATCAGGGTTCGAAGACCCAAGGGTGGACTGTGATACTGTGAAATATATATTTGGTCTTTGACATCATTTCCTGGCAAACAGCTCCTAAAATCCTCAGGAACTCCAAAGTGATGATGGCTGGCAGCTCCTCGTATCTTCAGGATGGGGGCTGGTTACTGGAAATTATCTAGGTAAGATTAGAGGGTTGGGACTTTCATCTCCTATCCCCATCCTCTGAGTGTAGAGGGGCTGAAGGTTAAGTGATCATCACCAGTCAGTGGTTTAACCAATCATGGTAGGGTGGCAGTCTTGGGGACAGAGCTTTCAATCTGTAGGACCTGCTGCTATCTTCAGGTAGATAGGCTGGAATTGAATTGGAGGACATCTAATTTCAGTTCTTGCTATTGTTTAAAAAAAAGGAATTGGAGGACACCCAGCTGGTGTCCACTACAGAACTGACTGCTGGTAGGAAGAAATCTCCATATATTTTTGAGGTCACAGAAGTCTTCTGTGCTGACTGCTGCAGTGTGAGAGCAGAGGAATAATGGTTTGTTTTTTCCTAATATTTATACCTATATGAACTCATAAATAACTATTTTATTCTATGAGTTTTAATCCAATAC